TCTGAAGTTGTGACAGTTGTGTCTGTGATTTTTTTCTTTAGATAGGACGCTCTGCGAATCAATAGTCGCAAAATCACAGGTTTATGAGCTTGCCAAATCGTGTTGCGTGTGATGTCTGGGTCGTCATTTTCCCGGAAATATTGTTGGATCCCTTGATCCAACTCTTGAGTGAACTGCTTGTCCCTGAGTGGTGAGTCATTAAGTCCCCACGGACTTCTTTGGGTTGGGTCAAAGCAGTCTTTAACCGTCAGTGTGACTGGGGAATGATCGGACCAGGTGATTTGCCCTATTTCTCAGTCTGCAGTCTTTGGTTCATGTGTAAGCCTGATATGAGGTATCCGTCTAGTCTTGAGTAGGTGTTGTGTACTATGGAGAAAAAAGTACTGACGCCAGTTGGTTGCTAAATTCTAAACTCAATGTGACTCACACTATGAGAGGTGAGACAGAAAAAGTTCCAGTATAACAATATTCTTATACTGAATATAATAGAGTATAGAAAAAAATCACCATTTGGAGTTTAGGTTTAACTATCAATACTAAGTGGTCTTAGGTAATAACAACCATTTCGATCAGCCTTTATAAGGTCAAAAACCGGTTGGGATCTATGCAACTAATTAATGAAAAATAAAGAAGCTTTAATTGTTTACATATAGACATATTTACAAAAAGCAATTAAAATAAGGTAGAACAGGTGGGTATATATATTCTGTTGATGGAAATACCTACAAGTCTACAAAAATTATGAAAACGAAAAACCTTCGTTTAGTCCCTGTGGTGAAAGTGTTTTCAGTTTATATATCCAGTAAGATTTTCTTTGCTTTAGCTTACGATCCCAATCCCCTTTACGTTGGGTTTGGGTTATGAGTTCTATGCCCATAAAGCGTATCTTACTGGATGAGTTGGCATGATGTGCCTTGAGATGGGAGATTCCAATTACCTTCTAACTGAATTGACATGTTCTCTAATACGGAACTTAAAGGACCACTCTAGGCACCCAGACCACTTCAGCTTAATGAAGTGGTCTGGGTGCCAGGTCCTTCTAGGGTTAACCCATTTTTTCATAAACATAGCAGTTTCAGAGAAACTGCTATGTTTATGAATGGGTTAAGCTTCCTTCTAGTGGCTGTCTCATTGACAGCCACTAGAGGCGCTTGCGTGCTTCTCACTGTGATTTTCACAGTGAGAGCACGCCAGCGTCCATAGGAAAGCATTATGAATGCTTTCCTATGCGACGGGCTGAATGCGCGCGCAGCTCTTGCCGCGCGTGCGCATTCAGCCCAGGAGGAGGATCGGAGGAGGAGAGGAGGTAGAGAGCTCCCGCCCAGCGCTGGAAAAAGGTAAGTTTTTAACCCTTTCCCCTTTCCAGAGCCGGGCGGGAGGGGGTCCCTGAGGGTGGGGGCACCCTCAGGGCACTATAGTGCCAGGAAAACGAGTATGTTTTCCTGGCACTATAGTGGTCCTTTAAAAGGACGGAAGGTCTTTCCGACATACTTAATTCTGCAGGAACATGTCAAAAGGTAAATCACTCCCTCTGTGCGACAGTTGAAGAAGGACTGTGCAGAATGAAAGTCCTGGTTCAAACTGTCAGAAAAAACCTTGGTTTCCTTGGCTATATATTCTCTCTCCTATTATCTGGTAATCATATTGTTTTTTCTGTGTGCTCAGAGCTACTTCTGGGATCCCCTTGTTCCAAGGGTCTCTTTGTCTTATGAGAAAAAGTATAGCCCCGTTCCCCTATGTGTGTGGCACTCCATACATCATAAAAATGTTGTGTATATGTATCAGCATCCGAAAAGCTTTGCCTTGTTTTCTGAGCGTTCCATATCTACCACTCGTTTTTGCTACTGTCGTGTCTACCATGGGGTCAAAGACATGGTTAAAGTCCCCACATATGATAATAATATCCTGTTGGATTTGCCTGAGTTTGTGTATAATTTTGTGTAAAAAGTTGCGTTGGTCTGCATTCGGCCCATAGACATTGGCTATTGTGTATGTTGTGTCATTAAAAGTCCCCACAACAAAGGTGCATCTGCCCTCAGAATCTGTTTCTTGAGCTATTGGAGTGAATGCAATATTCCTGCTGATTAAGATAGAGGTGCCCTTGGTTTTGTTAGGGGAGGTGGCGTGAAATTGAGTGGGAAAGTCGTGTTGCAGTAACGGGGTATATGCGTTAGTTTTACAATGTGTTTCTTGTAAGCACATAACTTAAATTCTCAATGATCTAATTTCTTTTGCTAGGAAATGTCGTTTCTCTGGGACGTTCAGTCACCTAACATTGTGGGAGCATATTCTCATGGAGGTCTAAAGGCATATTCCGCTAAGTTCCACAGCATGAATTCTAGTGTTCGTGTGGGGGGCCCACCCTGTCCCAGTTCCTCCAAACTCGTCAGACTCCCCATCTTAGCACTTTCAGTGATAGGCACATAGTGAGACCACTCAGTGTAGGTGATTTGTGAGAGTAGTGGTTTTGGATATGTTTCCCGTGCAGGAAGAGGAATAGTAAAGGAAGAGAGAACATTAACAAAAACATAACCAGACATTATACAGTATAAAATAAGGGGTGCTGTGTTTACGGCAAAACATTCTGAGTGCCACGGGGGTGGAAGCTGGCTGTTTCCGTCATAGAGACAAAGCTTCCACATAGGTTTATTAAACTTTCTAAAAATAGTTGAGCGTGACCTAGGGATGTGTACTTAGTAAGGGACCCATGAAGGTCAGGAAGTTCGCAGTGTAGAAGGGGCTATGTACTTTTTATACATCTCTCTAATACACATTAGTCTTATGTATCAGTTTAAGTATTGTCACCCCATACTAGGCATTGTAATTATTATCTCAGCATCTAAATGTGCCTAGGGGTGTAATGCATAGGCAAATAGATGGCATTACTTGCAAATTAAGAGT